TTATTTGGTATATGAACACACGTCAGATATTCTCAGTCTAAAAGAACATGAATAGTGATCTAATCAAATTTGGAAAACCAAATGTAGACCCTCATCAATACAGCCCTCTCAGAACTGTCAGATAAATTTATATCGGATTGATGTATGTAGCTCAATCCAGTAAATGAAGTATGCAATACAATTTGATTAAAAGATATACTTTGATTTAGGTTGAATCGTGAATCTTTCACATGATAACATTTGTGGATGAAAAGTGCAAGCTTTTTGAACATGTATAAGATAAAATGATAAGTGATCTCTGCTTCATCTTGACTTAGGAGATAAGTAAATGACACGCATTGTACAGTTATCACACAGTGATCACACAGAACGGTTTTGTACTTTCTTTCTTTGCTTCTTGTATTTGCAACAATGATTTATATATTATAAGCAAACCAAGTTTAAGGGACATGTGTTTATTTCCTGATTTGCTATCTATATCAATTTGTGAATAGTGGTATGGTATTACCTTTTTGACTTTGAAATCATTTATACAATTATTAATAGTTCATGATAGTAGGGTCAAATCAATTAACAAGATTAAGTTGATAGGACTGTTTTATTCTTTAGTCCTGAAATAAAAAGTAGGTCCGTTGATGAGTTTTAAGAATATCTGATGTAATGGACAAAGAAAGCGTGAAAAAATTCTTAAACTTCGTATGCTTTTATCAATTTGAAAGCTCTAAATTGTAGGCCTTGTCTCAGAGACCGGATGTCGCAAAATATGTATTCTTTTATTTTTAGAAGAAATTAACGGAAACGATTTGATTATTTAGGTGTGTATATGTGTGTGTGTGTGTGTGTGTGTGTGTGTGTGTGTGTTGAGTGAGTGAGTAAGTGTGGGTGTGTGATGCATTATTTGACCCCAATGATATCTCTTGAAGTTTGATTTAATTAAAATGACGCCATTCTAGTAAATAGGTGTCTGTGTTAATCACTCAAATTACAGTTCAATTATATTAGTTATCCTTCTAATAGAATTTCGACATGACTGCGTGGACTTTAAAAGATCTACAAGTTTTAAATTGTAGTCCATTGTTGATATTAAGTACAGCGAACTTTCGTTTAACTGTATCAATAAAAAATAATGATCTATCTTCAGCATGTATGTACCGAACGGTCGTGTATGCTATTCTTCTTTTATAACTTGGTCAAGCAGTTTTGATTCTATAAATTTCGATGTATCGATTGTAAATTAATATCTGCCAAGAAAAATTATTCAGGCTGTTGATTATAGAAGGAAATCCCTGCTGTAAAATCAAATGTAAAAACTAGAAAGGAAATGTTAAAATATTTCTGCTCAGTCAGTCTGGAATTTTCTAAGCTTGTACTGATGGAAAACCTTGGTAAATAATAACGTCATTTTCCGATAACAGTATTGAAAGTTCTATATATAGAAAAGCTCAAAGGGCAACGCAAAATTAATAAAACTTGTCAACCAGTAACTGCGTCAAATTCATTAAAGATTATCAATTTCATATCTTACTGAAGAAAGTAAAATAACTTTGTAGACTAACACTTTCGGGTCGATACTTTTGACGAAACATCATTTTCTCATTTTTGAAAATCGCTTACTGGACGCCAACTCAATCAATATACAGATCATATCGTATCGGTAACTTAATCAGCAATGAATCACAAACGCACGAGTGATCTAGTTTTGCTATTATTTACTTGTCACAGTTTATAAGAAAATTACAGAATTTCTTTTGATCAGAACGAGGCGTATAATTGGCTAACGCTTTTTTCACTGAAGACAAAGAAGTTCAGGTCCGTTACCAACTGAATGCGTTTGTAATAGACTTGCATATTACAATGTTAGAAAGTTTTTGCCTCCATCCTATTGTCATTTATATTGTTTCATGTGATGTATTGTCATATGTTCATTCCTTTTATTTTTTCACTGACAATTAACCAGATCTAATAAGTTATTATTGGCTTCAGTGTCTCTCATGTCATTCGAATGACAAGTATGATGTACGTAACATATGATACTAACTTCGACTTTCTTGCCTCTCGTCAACCACGAAAATAATATCGTGTATAACAGTTTCCCTGCATTGATGGTATTGCGATCATCTACTTACCAGTGTCTGTATGCTGGCATGATAGTAGTTTGTTATTGCTACGCGCGATGGTTTTAGTTGACAAATAAGATGTAAAATTTGTTAAATTCTAAGTCGCGAATATTGATGTCTTGTATTTGTTGGAATTATGGATGTGTCACATCGAGTCAAGTATTCAATATTTTGTTGTAATTTTGTATTCTTGCAACTCATACATTGACAAACTTAATATTCCATATTTTTTTTATGTATTCAATATGAGGGCATATAAGATGAAATTCTTGCAAGGAGAACACAGTTCTTTACTTCTGATAATTGGACAACAGAGGCTTTTCGCAATGTTCAAATTTCTATCGGAACTAATATATAACTATATAAATGTTAGAGCATATTTGAGCACACTATATTGGTTATCACGTCTCTAATTGAATTAGGAGGCAGTTAATGTTGGATAGTAAACCATCCTGGGTATTTATTAAGACGTTTTACCAATAACTTACTCCTTAGTGTACTATTTGTTTTCAGTAATGAATACACCAGAGAACCCAATCTATCATCAATCATTGAATAATTTCGCACCATTTTATGATGAACTGACAAACCTTTTAACGATTGAGAGATTGGAATATTCTAAGAAGGAATCTTACTGTTTTATTGTACATGCTTGTTTCATACATTATGTTATTAAAATTAAACCTACCGCTGTTTTCGACAATAAAAATATAATATCGACGAAAATCCTCTATGTTACTATACATTTGGGTAGTACAAACGATTCCATACCGCATGATATGCAACATTATAATGAGTATTTACCACTGCACTTGTAATGGTGCAACAAGAAAGTATTAGCTACGGAAAGACGAATATATCGGCAATATTTCCAGTTTAAATCCCTTTTTAATGTTTGTCTATGTACAGTTTATGAATAAAAGGGTTTCAAAGAGGAAGACTTTCCTGTTAATCTTCAAAAATTTTAATCTGACGAATAAGACGTCGTATAAAATAGGAAGAAATGATTGATCTGTTTTTTGGGGTTTTTTTTTCGCTTACTTCAGACAAGTCAGAGTTTTGCCCCTTAGCATTATCTTTAAACTTAAAAGTTTGCTATATAAATGATGCCCTCTCGCTGGATAATTTACGGTTTGATGACTAAGTTGGCTAATCTCCTTTCTATCGAACTTGTAATAAGGCATCCATAGATAAATTTAGGTATCTTGACCTGCACATATGAATTTACAGTTGGAGATGGTTGAAAACTAACGACAGAAGAGATGTCTTCAACTTTCTAATTCTGAACTCGCAATTGTTATGTAGCAACATTAAAGCAGCACATGATACAAACGTTTCAGAGCTGATGTAAATTTCGTCTTCACAGCCTTCGAGACAAAAATCAAACACTTTTAAATATAGTCTAGATCTACTGTGAAGTTTCGCTTTGATCATCACAGCCTTCAGGGGGACGAAATTACATATGCTAGAAATGAAATAAATAAATTTATGTGTTACTTCATACTCCCCTTCACAGTCTATCAATGAAGATACAAAGAGGCTAGCTATAACTGTGATATTAAATGTTATTGTTTTTACAAATTCCATGAAATCAAACAACGGTTAATAGTTTTATAATTAGTATTACTAGTTATTCTTCATAAACGCAAATATAGGTAAGATATCAGCGTATACTCCTTACATGATAAACTATGTTAATATTAAGTTTTTATTTCGTCTTTTTACTACGAAATAATCGATGAGACCAAACAAACTTGACTTATAATTGTTTACTTTTAACACATTGTGACTTGGATGGATAGTTGTCTCATTGGCACTCATACCACATCTTCTTATTTATATTTATCCTTGATTCAAGTATTTATCACATTTAAAGAAATCTAAACCCCAATAAGATAGGTGCGTAAATTGTAACATTCCCAACTTACCTGTGAGCAACATGACAGGCGCCACATGTGGATCAGAATTTGCTTTCCTTACCGGTGCACCTGAGATACCCCCGATTTCTGGTTGGGTATGTGTTGCTCGGTTTATAGATTTTTTTGTCGTGTTTTATGGACTTTTTTGTTTTTCGTCGTTTTTCGTTTATTGCCATGGTGATCAAACAGACCTATATTCAAGATTACTAATCTCTCCTGTTCATCTAAAACTCAGTGAAATCTATCAGGTGATGATACTCTAAGAGTAGTATGAAGTTTTTATCTCTTTTTCACAGTCTGAAACGCAGCTGCTAATGCTCATTGAAATTTAACCGATGAACGATATAATTGCAATATCACAAATTATATAAAAATGTGTGATAACAATTGTGATATAAGTTAGATAAAAGTCATTTACGTTATAAATAAATCAGACGAATAATGATAAGATGATCAATTTATCTATCCTAAAGTGCTGTTTTTGTAGTACGTGACCTTCTTGTAAAATGCCATTCCAAACTCAATATTCAAGGAGACCAAAGGAAAGGCTGGTAATACGTACGCTCATGCGTGTGAATGTCTACTTTCAACACTAAAACAAATAATATAATGATACTTAGCAAATAACTGTCAATTTTGTATTTTCATGACTTTCGAATTTTATAACAACATCAGTAGGGCATGTCTGTTGTAATCTGTATTGATTAAGTATTTAAGTAAGATCCTTTAGAAAGTAAAAGTCGAATTTACGTCTATTAATGATTTTGAAATTTGCACAAAATACAAATCCAATGTATTCCCGACTTCAGTCTTCTTGAGTGGGAATTTATGTACAATAGGGTTTTAGTGTAGATCGTTATAGAATTAAAGACATTTAAATGTTTTATCATGTCAAACACAACAAAAAATAGACAAAGATAAGATAGAAAATATATTTATACTGTCATATTCCCTGTCTTTTCAGATTGGAACAACACGTCAAAGCTTCCTGTGATGGTCTTTGTACATGGTGAATCATATGAAATCGGAACCGGAAATGCATATGAAGGGAGTGTACTTGCTAGTTATGGAGAAGTTATAGTTGTTACTGTTAATTACAGATTGGGTGTCTTAGGTATGTGAAACATTATCACAGTTGCTAATTGTTTTTAATAGAAACAACAAGGATAGATATTTGGTACGTATGATTGCCAATGAGAAAACTATCCACCAAAGACTTATTAACAAATATACATGTGTAACTAAAACTTATAATGTCACGGAGCTTTATTAGGTAATCCAACATCTTAATAAATGGAAGACTATAGTACATATATTCCCCTCTACCAATACTTATTTTGCATAGTCAATTTTATAATTGTCTCGACCATTAACTGGTATCAAACTTAATATCTTCTTGGATTAACTACTTCTTTTTAAGTCTTGGGAAGATTCAGAACTTGCCATATTATATAAACACTACATTAAGTCAGTTGTTGAAGATCGTATGTGTGGACTTTAAGATATCGTTTCATTTTTATACGACCGCAAAAAAATTTTTGTGGTCGTATATTGGTATGACGTTGGCGTCGTCGTCGTCGTCGTCGTCGTCGTTGTCGTCGTCGTCCTGCGTCGTCGTCGTCGTCCGAAGACACATTAGTTTTCGCACTCTAACTTTAGTTTAAGTGAATGGATCTCAATGAAATTTTACCATAAGGTTCAATACCACAAAAGGAAGGTGGGGATTGATTTTGGGGGTTATGGTACTCACAGTTAAGGAATTAGGGGCCAAAAAGGGGCCAAAAATAAGCATTTTTGTAACTTCCAGACATAACTTGTGTGTAAGTGTATGGAGCTCTCTGACATTGTACCACAAGGTTCCATATCACAAAGGGAATGCAGGGATTGATTTTGGGGGTAATTGCCTCCAAATTTTAGGAATTAGGGGCAAAAAAGGGGCAAAAAGCAAGCATTTTTCTAGTTTCATGACAATAACTTGTGTGTAAGTGTATGGATCTCTCTGACATTGTATCACAAGGTTTCATATCACAAAGGGAATGCTGGGATTGATTTTGGGGGTAATTCCCTCAAAAGTTTAGTAATTAGGGGCCATAAAAGGGCAAAAAAACAAGCATTATTCTAGTTTCAGGACAATAACTTGTGTGTAAGTGTATGGATCTTTATGAAATTGTACTGCAAAGTTCCATATCACAAAGGGAAAGCTGGGTTTGAGTTTGGGGGTAATTGCCCTAAACGTTTAGGAATTTGGGGCCAAAAAACAAGCATTTTTCTAGTTTCCAGACAATAACTTGTGTTCAAGTGTTTGGATCTCTCTTAAATTGTACTTCAAGGTACCATACCACAAAGGAAAAGCTGGGATTGAGTTTGGGGGTGATGAATCATAGGGGGTTCAAAAAATTGGGGGGGATTTTTTTTAATTTTTTTTATTTAAAATTTTCCATTTTAAATTGGTTATTTCTGATTTATATATAAAAGCAAATAATAATGATATGGTTTGAATAGGTAAATTAAAATTTTTTAAGTTCTTAGACCACTTTCATTCTGTGTGAGAAACCTATGCTGTGTCAAATATTTAATTACAATCCAAATTCAGTGCTGTATCAAGCTTGAATGTTGTGTCCATACTTGCCCAACTGTTCAGGGTTCGACCTCTGCGGTCGTATCAAGCTGCGCCCCAGCGGAGCATTTTATTTTATAATGAAGGGTTGCTGTCGTTGACATATTTCTCATATCTCTTTTTGATTAATACCAAACAATGTGTTAACACTTGTGTCTTTATTTCGAGTATTCTATATTACCTGCCTAAATTAGGAATATTATGATTTGGTTTTAGTTTTTCTGTCTGAAGTATCTTAACAGTCTTGGTCTGACAATCTACATTTCTGTTTTATAATATTTGCCCTACTTTATTTTCTGTAAACGCTGTCTTTCTGTCTGGTATAACGCTTCTACTTTAATTTTATTAGATATTCTTTCAAAAAATAATAGAAGTATCCAGCATGCATATTTAATATTTGTAGTTTGTCTTGCAGCTAGATTTATCATCCGACATTGACATATGAGAATCAGAACTGAGATAATTTTAAACTTGGCCTATAATCAGATCTATCAGCTATTTTGTCATTTTATATTATATATATACTTAATTGTACTTAATAATACTTTCTCGGAGAAAATGGAAGTTTTATACTTGAAAATCCTTTAGTTCATGAAATTTAGAATAAAACTCAGGAAGATGTTTTCTAAAGTAGCAGTTAAAATCTATCAGCTTGTTGGGCCAGGATAATTTCAAATAGAGGGACAAAATCTCAAAAAATCTTGTTCGGAGTACATAAACTGAATTTATTATACCTATTTTTCGGTAGTGTTGAATTCATAAATACTTTTTTCATGACAGAAAAAGATCTCGCTTGCATATGTAGCTGGTAGGTACATTCAACTAGTAATTTTTATTTCTGGAAGATTTAGATATAATGCTTACAAAAGTGGGAGAGGATATCAAGGATGAAATAAAAAATCATAATGCGAAGAAATACGACGACAATAAACATAGTCTACATAACACTCTACACAGTAACACTACATTAAAGAATAAACAACTCTAAGATATAATTACAATGTTTTCAATATAAAACTATAAATATTCTATTAACAATATAATGATACTTTTCCTCACCTAGGTTTTCTTAGTACTGGAGACAATGAAGCCAGTGGAAACTATGCATTATGGGATTTGTTTGCTGTTTTGTCATGGATACATGATAACATAGGTGCCTTTGGTGGAGATACTAACCGGGTGACATTATTTGGACATGGTTACGGTGCAGCATTGGTCAATATTTTATTATTATCACCAATGGTATCAAGTAAGTACTCATCTATTCTAGTAAGAACTGCAAATATATAACCTTTCCCAAAACAGAATGAAAACGAATATTTTACACAACAAAATGAAGGATATAAATGTGTACAAAAGTGAAAATATAAATTCGTGCGTCAAATCGCACAAAAAAATGATCGAAACTCACAAAAGGTTCAAATGAATTTTCCGCCCGTAAAAAATCCTCATGCCACTCCCCCTTCTCCCCCCTAAAAAATCCCGAATTTCAAATGGTCGTCCCCTTATTGTTTACAAGGCGTAATAAGCATTTCCTTTTTTGCACATTGCACGTTTTGGTGCTCAATATTTAAATATTCAAACGAAGTGATTTTTTACTAGATCACTTGTTTGGTTCAGGTCGGTGGTAAGGGTTCTTAGTAGCAGTTGTGTATCTTGTAACAACTTAACATTCTCCATAACATTCAGTAAGACACTGATGATGTTTGATTAAATCCCTAAGAAGAGGAGACTGAGACTCCAAGACATTCAAAAATCAATATCCGTGTTTCACTGACAGGAGGAGACTGACACTCCAAGACATTCAAAAATCAATACCCGTGTTTCACTGACAGGAGGAGACTGACACTCCAAGACATTCAAAATCAATCCCTGTGTTTCACTGACAGGAGGAGACTGACACTCCAAGACATTCAAAAATCAATACCCGTGTTTCACTGAAAAGGAGGAGACTGACACTCCAAAACATTAACAAAACAATACCCGTGTTTCACTGACAGGAGGAGACTGACACTCCAAGACATTAACAAATCAATACCTTTCATTGGCAGGAGGAGACTGGCTTTTCAAGACATTTACATATCAATACCCGTGTTTCACTGACAGTAGGAGACTCACACTCCAAAAAAATTATTCTGATCCCCAACTTGATGAAAAAAAATATTCTGTTCAAGCAGATGACAAAAAAAAAATATTCTGAATGCAGATTCCCCCCATACCTTATAGTGTTAAGTTTTGAAAAAAATATATTGTTTGATACTGTCGAAAAACTAAATAGATTTGTTCCTTGAAGTTAAATGGTTGCTCCCTTATTAAACACCAAAACGTTATTTCATTTTAATATCTACGTGAATGCCCTTAAACATTTAAGATTTGAAAACGATGAATATGTAAATTCGTATGTATCATCATTAAAATAATGGCGTAGGTAAATGCAAATATCGTATTTACGAAAAGCACAAATCATTAGCATGATCTGCTTAACCTTTCGGAACACATGAGATCACCCCGGTTTTTAGAAGGGTTCGTGTACCTCAGTTTTTAGTTTGCTATGTTGTGATTTTGTTGACTGTTGTTTGTCTGTTGGTTAGTTCTTGTTAATTTGCCATGGCGTTATAACTTTATCTTCGACTTATGAGTTTGAATTCACCTTTGGTATCTTCCGCCTCTCTCATACTCTGTAAAATGAATACATTAGGATTTTAGCAGAAAGTTTTCTTTAACTAACATCAAGATGCCTTATTCGTGAAATATTTTTTAGCTTTGGTAGACGTTATTTTCAACGGACAGTTGCTTTTCTATGGGAATAAAAGGTATAAGTCTTCTTGTAGACTTCTTTTTCTAAGACGAGGACGACTTTATACAGGGGCTTTAAAGAAACAAACGGAAAGAAGATATCGTTTTACTTCACGTACTGCTATATAGAAGGTCGCTACATAATAAAACATAAAATCAGGAGATGTGGTATGATTGACAATGATACAACTATCCACCAGAGCCCATATGACGTTGATATAAGCAACTGCAGATCACCGTACAGCCTGCAACAATGAGCTACACATATATGTATAGTCAGCTATAAAAGGCCAAACATTACAAAATGTGAAAAAAAATAGAAAAAAGCAACAGCCTAATTTTCGACATTGTCAAAGGAGGGACGAAAGATACCAGAGGGACAGTCAAACTCATAGATCGAAAACAAACTGACAACGCCATGGCCAAAAATAAAAAGACAAACAGACAAATAATAGTACAGATGACACAACATAGAAAACTAAAGACTAAGCAACACGAACCCCACCAAAAACTGGGGGTGATCTCAGGTGCTCCGGAAGGGTAAGCAGATCCTGCTCCACATGTGGCACCCGTCGTGTTGCCTATATTATTACAAATCTGGTAAATAGTCTAATTCGGTAGGTCACATTCGTGAAAAGGGAAGGGTATTGTAGTTACGACATAAGGAACATATCCGATATCATCTGTGAAACGGTTATTCCATAACGGTCAACCAACTCGTGATGGCGTCCGTAAAATGTACGAAGGAATGATTTCAACTTCACCATTTGGAACTCTTGGTTTAATAGCTTCCTTGTGAGCAGCAATCCTCTATCAAGGAAATCATGATAGAAAATACAAGCCCGGGAATATCGTATCAATTGGGAGATATATACTCCGTATGCAGGGGCTGCTGGAATGTTGCTACATAGAAATGGAAAGTTCACAATTGGGAGGCAGAAATCATCTCTTTTGTCGTAAAGTTTTGTTTTCAACCGACCCTCATTGTCAATTTCTAGATGTAAGTCAAGATATGAGGCAGACTTAACTGTATCTGTAGTATCCTTTATCTCTAGTTCGATGGTATAGATTCGTTCAACATAGTCACCAAATTTTATATTATTTAGTGAGAGAACATCATCTATATAGCGGAACGTAAAGTTAAAGTATATTGCTAACTTCTTATCTTTCTTCCTAAGAAATTCCTGTATGAAGTCAGCCTCATAATAATAAAGAAACAAGTCGGCAAGAAGAGGGGCACAATTGGTTCCCATTGGAATTCCGACAGTCTGTTGAAAAACACGTCCTCAAAACGTAACAAATATTTTGTCAATCAAGAAATCAAGCATCTTGATAATGTCAGTTTCAGAGAATTTTTTGTTTGAATCAGAGTGATTCTTTACAAAGTAGGATTTATCCCTCTCCAAGACAAGATTCTTGTATCTACGTTCGCCATTCTTTTTAATGAAACAAAGTAATACCAACTCTCAAATCAATAAAAGAAAAACAAATATGACTGACAGTAACCAACAATAACCACTGAATTACATGCTACTGACTTGAGTCGGGCACATGAAGAAAGTGGCGGGGTTAAACATGTTTATGAGTGCCCAACCTTCCACGAATCTTTGACAGTGGTGAAACTACACAAACTAAGACAAAAACTGTAACGTAAATCTTCATATTGGCACGAAGCACAAAAACAACTGGCAACAAAGTTTGTTGACTGTACAATTGATCACATATATTGAACTTGAAATAATCAAAACCACATATACAGCTAGCTCTGCCTCACATTTAGAAATTGGCAGAGAGGATAAGTGAAGGACTAATCTGTTCGACAAAAGCGACAATGTCAATTTTTCTTTTTCATTTTACATGTAGCAATATCCCACGACACTTGCATATGAAGTATGTATCTTTCGGTTGATATGATATATGGTCTTAAATAATAGAAAAGTATCTTGACATTTTAAAAATGAAAAATTGAATTCATTAGAGACTATACCAGCACCAAATTCCTTAATGGACGAAAAACGCGAATACCGGAACAACAATAAACACTTTGATTATATTTTTCTTAATAGGCACATATATATTCAAAAGACAACATGTTTGCTATGATTTTATTTAAACTAGGTGTAAAACTATTACTTAACGATTAATCATGTAATTATTACTTTTAAAGTAATACTTACATTAATCGCAACCAATTATTATACAATAACAGATTAATGTCTGAACAGACAGATGGAGGACCCAGCCATCGACCCTAGTACCTCTTATAATTGTTTTATAACTTAAAGAATAGTCTCAAACATAGTTTGACCAATAATCGTACAATAGTTTAATAAGTACTCAGCCTTCATTATTATCTCGAGTAGCGGTTATAACACAAAGTATAGATAAAATGTAAAGATACATATGGACGCACATTTATTTATTTAGTATTGTAATTGTATATAGCCAAATGATTGTTATGTCGATGTTGTTGGTTTGTTATTTCATTGACATTTATTCAGCCTCCTTTATCCGTGATTGAGCAAATTGCAGTTAACTATTTATGTCAATGAAGAATTACGTTTGTTAACAGTTTGTGTCAAACCTAGAAGTATTTTTGTTATATGTGTCTTTTATTACGGTTTCATTGACATTTACCCCACTCATCTCCTTTTATTATCCTTCGTGCATCAAACCTACAAAATTAAACTCCTTATGACAGTTTAAAAAAAAAGCATCATAAAAAGTGATTCTATTCTCAATAGAAATATTTCTTTCCCCCGATTTCTATTTGTAGAATCAGCGACAATCATGCAAAAGGTTGGAAGATAAAAAAATTATCAGAAAACCTTGTTATATTCACTATTAAGTTTTATCCCGTTTTGTAATGTAAACGAGAATAACAAAATATAACTGTTTATAGACAATAAACGTCATTCGAGTCAAAAGTTGTGACAGTAGATCACCAGCCATCTTAGCATAAAAAAATTAATGGTGAAATGTTTATATCATCAGTGGAACTAATTAGCATAGATGTTTGCTAATTTTTTTTTCTCGATGTCATGCACGTGCTGCGTTCCTTTTAGAATAATTTTTTGTCACGATTTTTTCCTTCTTACGTGTCATTTCTATTTAACTCTCTTTATGACAATTTTTTCATCTATATTGTTCGCTAAATCTTGGATTGAACTTATTTGCTGAAGTCGTTACAATTCCTTGTCCAACAATAAAGGTTACCGAAAATAAACTTTATGCTGAAAATGTGTTGTTTTCCATTCGTTTGATGTGTTTGAGCTTTTGATTTTGCCATTTGATAAGGTGTTTGAGTTTTCCTTGGGGTTCGGTATTTTTGTTATTTTACTTTTTCCCTTGGGTTTAGGTTTTTAACCTTGATGTGTATTTTCTGAATGAATTTATGAGATTTAAACACCGGTAAACTTCTGTGACTTCTAAGTAATGACATAACATCATTTTTTACAACATTTAACTGAATCAAATAAAAAGCATTTTGCTTAATACACTTTACGATAAGCAATACGACGGATGCCACATGTGGAGCTGGATTTGCTTACATATTTCCAGAACAACTGATTTCATCCCCGGTTTTTGTTTTAATTTCCTATGTCGTGTTTTCTGGACTGCAATTTTTTTTTTATATCCGTCGTTTTTCAGGGTTTTTTTGCCATGATGTTGTCGGTTTCTCTTCGATATGTTAATTTTAATTGTTCCTTTTGTAACTCCCGCCTCTCTTTTTTATGAATACGCCGTTAAAGGTAAATGTTTTTGAAGAAGCATACTGACCACTGGTTTACTGACCAGGAGATTTTAGGGTTGGTTTTATGTGCTTATTTTCTCTTTTTTTTAATATATACATTGTATATGCATATATCAATTTCCTGCAGAGATTTGATATTTCACTAGATTTTGTTTTCTATAACTGTTATCACTACAATGATTCGCAATTTAGTTCGTAAAACAATTTTCATAATGTTTTATAAGAAAGCATGAATGTATTATAAAATGCAATATTCTTAGATCGTTTCCATTGTGCTTTTATTCTTTGTTACGTGTTTTTTTTTTAAATAGCATTAGTTTTTGCTGGGTTATCCTCTTTTGTAATACCGATATTAAGAGCTTTATAATTTTCATATCATTGTATTTTAAAATTTTGAATCCAAAGAGATACTATTTGAGATCAATGGAAAAAAACCAGTAGTAAACAATACGATTTTATCAAACTATGTTTAATTTTATAACGATATCATATACACCGATATCACGATTATATGACATTAAGAAGACCAGAGTACTAGTTGCATTTCTATCTTGTAATTTACAGTACTTCTGACTTTACACTGATGTTAATTAAAAAAAGAAATACAGATGCTTATAACTGAAATAATTATTCTGTAATATATGTTATCAAATTTCATTACAGCTCGACTTATTCAGCGTGCCATTTTACAGAGTGGTTCAGCTCTCAGTCCATGGGCAGTATCATTTGACGCTGTAACATGTACCCAGTGGTTAGCTGTAAATGTTAACTGCTCTCAATATTTAAGTGATTCAGAGTTACTTGTTAAATGTTTGCGCAATAAAACAGCTACTGAACTAGTAGAACACGTGCCTTTACCTCCAAAATATTATTCCTGTTTTGCACCAACACCCGGTGGTGGTCAAATGTTCCCAGATAATGTTAGAGAACTTTTAAAAAGAAGGGACACAGTATTTTCTCAAATCCCTGTTATGTTCGGTGTAACTAGAAACGAAGCTTACTCATATCTTAAGCAACGGGAACTTGAGGAAGGAATCACAAAGGAAAGAAAAGCTCAGATAATTCGTACTTTCGTTCACAATTTGTATAAATTCCATAGACAGAAGTTATATGAAATCATTGACTTTCAGTACACTGAGTGGAATAAAGAGCAAGATAGAAATACTACCCGTGATAATGTCATGGACATGCTGAGTGACGGATTGTATGTTGCTCCTGTGGTAGAAATGGCACATGAACATGCAAAACGGGGTGCTGGTACATACTTTTATAACTTTGGATATTCTACACAATCCGAAAACTTTCCACAATGGTCTAGTGGTGTCCATGGTGACGAATTACCGTATGTATTTGGAGCTCCTCTTGTTGATGGTATATCGCCATTTCCGAGTCGTTATACGAAAAACGAAAAGAAATTGAGTGCAGCTGTTATGCGATTCTGGACAAATTTCGCAAAATCAGGGTAAGGCAATATATTAATCTAGCGTAATCTTACTGCGTCATCTACAAGTAATGTTCGTTATACCTATAATTTTCCTGCTTGTTTTTTTCTTCAAATCTTTGACATATCTTATAAATAAAAAAAATCACTTGAAAAATTGTTTTCATCTTGATGAACCATATGAAGTCAACAAATAAAAGTATTTCAGTAGGCCCTTTACTAAGCATGTTTTATTTCTTCTTTAAAACGTTACGCCTATGCAGAATCATGTCTCTTTTTGTCAGCCTTCAACAATACACTTAAAGATCAATACAAAATATATTTCATTACTTTTATAGTTAAGAAAATCATCTATTCACATATTACTGTATGTTACCACCAATTGTTCACAATATTGGGTTCATTCAAAAATAAAGCAACACAGTATGGAGGAGGAATAGTTCTGATGAATACCACAAATAATACTTGAAGACCACTACGTTATCTATTAAACTATCAGAATCTAATCTTGTCTGTAGTTCTTTCATCACATGATGTCCATAACAAACCTTTTTATAAACAGTTAATAAGAAGTTGTTTTCAGTATCCAATTGACAACTTAATAGAATAAGATGTGATAGTTAGATCCGTTTGGTAGATGGAATAGTATATCAATAACTTATTTCTCAAACACAGAAGTAGAATCTTCATTTTTTTGTCTCTACATTATAATTGTATTGTGACTATTTTCGCCACAGACTATATCATTACATGCGGCGTTTTGAATTGAATACATTTGATCTAACTAGTAATATTGCTGGTTTGTGGACAAAAATAGCGAAAAACTTCGCAATCAATTTCCGTTTCCAATTTAAATTTCGGATATCATTAGACTATATATAAATGATATAAACCATACTTACATGACACTTTCTATGGTATTTATGACTATATATAAATGATATAAACCATACCAACATGACACTTTCCATGGTATTTACGACTATATGTAAATGATATAAACCATACTTACAGGACACTTTCCATGGTATTTATGACTATATATAAATGATATAAACCATCCTTACATGACACGTTCTACGGTATTTAGGACAATATATAAATGATATAAACCATACTTATATGACACTTTCCATGGTATTTAGGACTATATATAAATGATATAAACCATACTTACATGACACTTTCCACGGTATTTAGGATTATATATAAATGCTATAAACCATACTTACATGACACTTTCCATAGTATTTACGACTATATGTAAATGATATAAACCATACTTACATGACACTTTCCATGGTATTTAGGACTATATATAAATGATATAAACCTTACTTATTTGACACTTTATATGGTATTTAGGACTATATATATATATGAGATATCCATACTTATATGACACTTTCTATGGTATTTTGGAATATATATAAATGATATAAACCATACTTATATGACACTTTCTATGGTATTTAGGACTATATATAAATGATATAAACATTACTTATATGACACTTTCCATGGTATAAGGAAGTTTTATATTTCCTATCATGATTTCCTTGATAGAGGGTTGTTACTCACAAGGAAGCTATTAAACCAAGAGTTCCAAGTGGTTAAGTAGAAACCATCCCTTCGTAAGTTTTACGGACGCCATCACGAGTTGGTTGACCGTTATGGAATTTCCGTAACTACAATCCCGTCCCCTTTTCCCGAATGTGACCTACCGAATTAGACTTATTACCGGGTTTGTACTAACATGAGCAACACGAGGGTGCCACATGTGGAGCAGGATCTGCTTACCCTTCCGGAGCACCTGAGATCACCTCTAGTTTTTGGTGGGGTTCGTGTTACTCAGTCTTTAGTTTTCTATGTTGTGTTTTGTGTACTGTTGTTTGTCTGTTGGTCTTTTTCTTTTTTTTTCCATGGCGTTGTCAGTTTATTTTCGACATATGAGTTTGAATGTCCCTCTGGTATCTTTCGCCTCTCTTTTATATTGTAGGGATCCTAACGTTCCGTTAAAGGATACAGAACAAGACAAATTTTCCGATGTGTATTGGCCGAAGTATGACATGGCTAAACAAAGATATTTTCATATAGGTAAGTATAAATGGAGGTATATTTCGGTCAAACAACTACTTCTAGTAGACTTTTCTTTATAGGTCTTCAGTTTTTAGAGTAGGAAATGAAATGTTTTGAATGTTTTGAAACGGCCTGTTTTTACTCAAGTCCATCACTCTTTCATTGGAGACCATATAAATGACATCATAGCACTGGAAACAATTCATTATCGTTAAATTTATCTACGAAACTTCAAAATTGATTCAAGTAAACTGATCAAAAACAAAATTTAATACTGACTTTTTGAAAATTTAGATGTGCAACCGATTTTGATATAAATGAAATAATAAGTTTGCTAATATAAAATTGCATGCTATTAAAGTGTTCATTGCAATAGTCAATCGGGGTACATAAAGCCTTATATGTACATTAGTTGTAGTTCCATAACACGTGTGCTTGTTTTTCTCATTTTGTTTTTTTGTTGAAATTTCAAACTTAATATTATTAAAACTTTCTTATATTTATAACTTCACATTTTTACTAAATCAACATATTAACAATTGAAGTACTTGTAAATATACTGTTGTTTATAATTTCTAAGATAACACATACACATACGTTATTCCTTGTTTTAAAGAATAACTAGTTTTCCACCGATACGGAATAAAAACGGACCTGTCATAATGATCTATAGTACTGTATTTCTAAGTTACAAAATATAGAGATTTATTTTGTGGACCTAAAACTGTTTTAGATGTAAACTTATGAAATAGTTCAATCACACCCTATTACCGGCTACCGATAAAACGACAGATACAACAGGTAACACATACCAAAATGTGTACAAAATTACTAAGTCCGTTGTATGGCAATCGGAAAGTCAAACACAGGCTCAGATATTTTGTACACGATAACCAATCGTTTTATGATAGCAAATAAGAACACAGATCGTATTTTATCTACCAATTTTAAACCACCCTTCAGTCTGACTTGGGAAAACATAATCGCAAATGTAGTCATCGTGGTTCTAAATCCGTTTATGTTAACCTCCTCAACAGAGTAACATAAACAGAATAAAGATATGTCAATAGTCTGATAGAGTGTTAGAAACTACTTAATAGAAACAGTAGAATCTGCGTGCTCAGTTTTAGTCGAGGAAATGAGTCATCAGACTAGAACAATATTTTAGACATTTAAATTTTTGTATTAATTTGACATATGGTCCTCCTGTTTTATTACTAGTATATTACATGTACCTCCATTTAAATTTACAGGTTTTTCTATTTTATCATTGTTTTATTAATTCATGTTTTACATTAACTAAAAACTAAAATAAGGCATCATATTAACTTCCTAAATCTAAACTTAAACATGTAAAGAACTCTCGAGAAATAATTCCCATATCTGACAACTTAATTCGTTAACCTAGCTATATATAGATATTGATATAGATATATATCGTGTTCATTTTTGTACCGGAGTACAACTTATCCTGCAACAAAATGGCAAATAGTATCAGTAGTGTAAAACTATTATTTCTCTTTTGAAATCAGAGACTAATCCATGCTATGGGGAGATAGGTGAAGAAACGTGTTGGGATACTTTGGGTATGTACTCTGTGTGCATGCAAACTATATAAAATAAATACTAACAATTCAATTATATTCTCTAAAAGTCATTATAATTAATAAGAATATGTTTGTACAAATGTCCTCTCTATTCATTTCTTCAGAATAAATGTTAACATGAAAGTGCATGACAAAAACAATTACATTTCCAAAACAATAACTCTGGGTTTTTTCCTTCATATTTTCTGCCAATGAACTGTATATTGAACTTACTAATGCCTTCTGAATTGTTGATCATTTTGGCCGTCAGAAAAGCTTATTTGCTTCATTGCACGTTTTTTAACAATAAGAATGAAACATGACACTTTCAATTAGAATTTTAAGACCTGTATTCGTTGGTTAACATATTTATTTCTAGAATTTACCAATGTGTCAACTCTGAAACACATCGATAGTTTAGGTTTTTTCTTATCTATGTTATACGTAGTGGCATTGCTTTTAGGTTTAGGATATTATATAATCAAGTTAAATATTGTCTTGCTTAATTACTACATACAGAAAATATCCTAAGGTCAAATATTTTTATCAATATATCAATTATACAGATTTGCTTGCAGATACAGTAGATACATTTGGTTATACAAAGTGCATACATAGAACATAAATAAGTAATTGTGTTTAGGCCCATTATAATCAAAGATGAGAAAGTATAGTTATAAATCCATCAAATGACATCTATATTCACAAGACACTCTGTCAGATACATGTACCAGTAAATCTTTTTATAATTTTGTATTATTTATTTGTTTAAGACCTTCAAAGTCATTGCGTTTTTTAAAGGCAAACTGCAAAATTGCTAAAACCGGCTCCTTTTGAAATTTTGTCATTAATATTCAGGTATATGTAATAGCCTATTTAATTAATTTTGTCGTTATAATGAGAATGTATTCCAGAAAGTCAAAACACAAAAAGTCCAAAACAAAAAGTCACTGACTTTCTTTGATTTACAAAAGACTTATTTATTAATCGTTTTTGTATTATTCTTTAAGTTTTATTCATCAAACAACTTTGATAACAAATTTTGTTTTCAAAGATATTGATAAGAATATGTTGTATTGGACCAAAGCGCTGGCAAAAACAAACAAAATCTCGTTATATAAATTCTTTCCGGTTTGAATTTTCCTTGAGTTCGGTATTTTGTTATTTTACTTTTCTTAGATCATGTTGTAATTAGGGGTAAACTAGGTGAGACAGTTTTGATAATGTTAGCAAAATTCCGATTTTGATTTATTAATATCTACATGATGAAGACAAGAACCATGTGTTATGTGTGTTTAATTTGAATTCGGCTTTTGATAATGAAATATAGACGTGCCGCTGAAAAAATATGTTAGACTTTATCAAGAAATTCGAACATTATATTCAGTAATAACTTAAATTAATTCAGTTTTTTTCAGTCTATATGAGTTGAGATAGTCAGTTTTCCAAAAGCAAAAATGCATTTAGTTCCTATAAAAAGTGTATCGAAAATTCAATAAAAAAATAGTTTCTTTGTTTTATCTTTTAGACAGAGATTTTTATTTTAAGAATTCAAGAGATTTTTTTTTGTGCGCACATTTTATATTCTTTGGTATGGAATAACAGACATGTAGTACTAAGATATCAATTACTCTGCTCAAATCCTTTCTAAATATTTATTTTTTCATTCCTACGATTAATATAAAGGCAATGATATATTAAGGCAGAAGTAGTTTACCCGATGTTCATAACTGCCAATAAGAAAGGTACATGAATGTACGAAAGACTTGATAACGAAAACGTTCACAATTAGTAGCTCATGCACATATTTAAATATATTTTGCTGTGAATGATGAACATAAATAAGAAACATTGATAACATCATTTACAATAACAGAAAATAATAAAGCAGAATCCTCCTGTAATACCAGTACCGTCAAATGTAGTTAAAACAGATGCTTTGGTTTGTTTTAACATTTTATAGGAAATTTTACAGGCGTATCTCGAAATATTTCTGTATAAAACATATGTTTTGGAAAAATTATACGATATGCTATCTTTATTGATAGAATATCTTTTATATTTTGATTAAAACAGATCCCTCTATTTAGGTCTTTTAGTCTATAATAGTTTCGATGTATAGGATGATAATTTAAAAAAACATATTTTGCTTACCTCATCAATCTTTTTGAATTCCAGTTTACATCTGCTAAATTATTGCAGTTTTTTGTTAACCTAAATGATTTGCTAATTTTGCCACATTAACTACTAAATAAAAAAGTAAAACACAAAAATGCCGAACTCCAAAGTAAATCCAAAAAGGGGAAGTTTATGACAAAATCAAACGTTATCAACCAACGGAACGAGACTAACACATTCTGTAAACTATATTCCACCAAAACAACCTTTTAAAAGCCCCCCCCCCCCCAAAAAAAAATAAATATTAGAGACAGACAACATCGTTATACACATAACGTGCAGACAAAAAGAAAAAAAATCTAATAATAGACGACCCATCTTGTCAGGTTTTTTTGTTCTTTCATTCTTTTTTTTTTACATTTTTTACTTTCTTACTTCAATATCCATTTTTGAAATTCGCCGTTTGAAATTGAGATTATTAAGATATTGGAGATTATTCCTACCAAATATTGTAACAAACTGGGTAAAAAGGTTATAGTCTTTTACATGAATTAAGATATTGTAAATCTTTACACGAATTTAGGAAGATATCGGAATTTTATTTTCAAGTATTGAGGAAATACATACCTTACATATTGCAACACAAGCTTGTTCCTTCAAAACAGGGTAAATAGTAGAATGATATATATTGGATCGAAAAGAAAAGCTGTCAGAATGTTTTATATTAAAAAATATAATCAGTAAGTCGAACTGGATTGAAGAATGTAAAACAAATTGTAAATCCTCCATTCCAAATTAATGGCACCAAGTTATAATGGAAGAAAACTCTATAAGGACTAAAGTAAATATTTGTACTGTAAGGAGAAAACTTTATAAAGACTATAATCAATATATGTACTGTAAGGAGAACACCCTAAAAAGACTTAAGTAAATATATGTACTGTAAGGATAAATTAAAATTGAGGAATAAACCAATTGAAGCAACTTATGTTGATTATAAAATGCTTTGTGAAATTTTAGTACATCACAAAATCCCAAACTGTTTACTTCAATACCAAGTAATTCACACGATTTTTATTAAGTATGATTAAAAATATAAACGATCGTTTGTTTTGTAATATTTTATAGGAAAACGTCCACAGATAAAACATCACTACAGAGGATCAGAACTGGCTTTGTGGTTGAATCTAATACCACAAATTAACAAGAAACAAGATCCTAATACCGGTATCAAATCTGAGACGTCTCAACACGAACTTCTCGACTGGAAAAATATATCTACGTTTGACGATCCAGACGGACTGGTATCTAAATTCACTCGTTTATTTCCCTTACCGCCTCCAACTCCCCCAGTAACGCGGCTTCTCAATGATGTTCATGTGACTAATCATCCGGGGTTTGATGGGATGGACCGAAATTACCATCGATCGACACCGAGACAAACATCACAAGAGGAAATTACAGATCCACCGAAAGAAATTACTACAAATGAGAACCCCGCGATTGCTGGAGAAAGAACACAAGAATCGATAGCAACAAGTTCCGTCCCATTAAGTATCACTGTAGCAATAGGGTGTTCTTTATTATTTATTAATATTTTAATATATGCCGGAGTTTATTATCAAAGAGAAAGAATTAAGAAGATAAAACAAGGTGAAGCAGCTAACGCTAGTAGAAATTCACAAAGTAGGGGAAATAGCAACGAACCAGACGGCGACGAAATTACAACAGTTCCGGTTAATCATTTATCTGGACCACTTCCGAATTCTAAACCAGATATTCAAAACAATCCTGTATATTCTGTTATATCGAAACAGTCAGAAACTTCTGATAAATATAGTTACACACCAGTGCCAACGAACACTAATTCTCCTATGCATCGAACGCGAGTGCCTCACTCGCAGACAAACTCAATTGCTAGTTCGAGTAAAAGTGGCAATTCATTAAATCATATTTCCGGCAAACCCCCGGATCGTTCACCACATGGCAGTGATCGAAGTGTAAATAAACATAATCAAACTTCTGGTCCTGGTTCGAATAATGCAATAACGATAGTATAGTTGTATGTAGTCAGCTACTGTGTATATAGTGTGTATACATTTAACGATAAACTTTTCTTGTACATATTTCATTTTACCATTGTGTACATGGCGACAAATGGATTAGTGTGTATGTGTGCTATTTGTGTGTTGATATCATTCCTTTACATATCCGGTTTGAACTGATTTCATATCATTCTTAATGAGACGATAATTAAATAAAAATTTTGAAAACTACAAGGACTTTACATGACAAGATATTCTTTACAAAAATGTTTTTATATCATAAAGGAAACATAATCAAAGACTATAATACAACTTTAAAAAGAGAATTGAAAAAAATGAGTGAATACAGTAAAAGCTTAACTAGTTATTTTGGGACACAGTCACGTATATAAGCACTAAACAAACAAAAAAACATCCTATGCAAGTAATAATTATAGGTTAGACAATACTTGGTCATGTTTTATGAAGATTTAAAGCCCGAGGCGTAGCCGAGGGTTTTAAATGTTCATAAAACATGACCAAGTATTGTCTGACAAATTTAGAACATATTCACACCTTCGAGTGACATAACAAAATTAGCCTCTCATTGTTATAATCAAATTTTGATATCAGCTCACTTGAATTGTTAACATGGTTAGTAAAAGGGATGTAAATCATTTTAATGATCATTTCAATTAATGGAATGAAAGAGCAATGATATAGTTTTGTGATAACAAAAAAGGATAAATTATTCAAAAATGGAGATGTTTTCTGCTTCAGGTAGAATTTAATCTTATATATCGAGAATTCCTTTATTTTAAAACGCACACAATGTTATTTAAATCAGCTTTTCTTAAATTGTATAATTTTTAATTATGAAAAAAAACTTAATCAATGAATTTTCATTTACAATCGTTTCAACATCAGATGCTTGTCTTTTTTTATTGATGAATACATTTTTTTAAAACTTTCTTTTATCTTTTATCAACAGTCATTGATTTTAAGGAAGGTCTCGTATAAAATCAGATTAAATACTTCATGTATTTTACCCACACCTTTACCCCCTTTTCAATTTCTTTTTTTTTTTTTGGGAGGGGGTCTATATATGTACCATTAAATAACATTTACAATGTTAATATCTCAACTTAAAATGCTTTTATAGTTTTATAGTTCTGTTCTCCTGATGTCATTTATAATAATTAGACAACCATCAGTACTAATGATTTTTTTGGCTCTTTTCCATTGGAAATTGCCTTTGGGGAATCAACACTTCGTTAGAGCAGTTTTTAAGAGTTCACTTTCATAATTAATCTACAATGAAAAGTCATTTATGTATAGTATTTTATAGTGCATGGAAAGCCATGTACTATGAAAAATATGAGGGAAAATACTGATTTTCCATTGGACGAGAATGGGTGAGTATGTTCTAATGATATATATTTCACAAACAATCATGTCTGCTTTACTGGCTAGAACTGATTTCGCTTTTCGAAAATCAAAGTTCACCATCATTGATTTAGACTGGATACGAAAAAAAAAGATATTTTTTCCCGCTGTACTGTCAATATAGTAACCAGCCCTGCTCAGGCATTGCTCGATCAACATGCACTCACATAAAACTGAACAGTTGTCATAAGATAGCTTTCATCGTTCTGCTAATACCATGTTCACTGTACTTTTACGTCGTTGCACGTGACTTGAAAAGAAATATTACCTGTAATATTTAAACAAATGAAATGGAATAGAATGAAGTATTTGGTGGTTCAAATGTATTAATTTACGTAAATCAACCGAAGACAAAATCGCATTGTCAATTTTGATTCTCTCTTGTTTAAAATACTGCGTTTACATTTCAAAATTCCACATGTTCAAGTGTTATGGATTTACGCATACAGAAGATTTATATATTTGTTGAGCGTGTTACTCTTTACCATTGTAGTTTCTGTTTTTATTCTACTTAAATGATTTGATTGCCCCTTGGTATCTTCATTACATTTTTCCATTTACTTAAATCGATAAGTTATACGACCGCAATTCGGTATATCGAGCACGATTCCTAATAGCTTCTAACATATGTTTTCAATTACAAACACGACTTTACGTTTAAAATGTGCAAAGTTATTTTTCATATATAATCCGACAGGCCCTGTTATAACTGATAACCTAATTAACATTGTCAACAACACTTCACCACGAAGTTTGCAAAAGGGCACATTTTGAATTTAAATCCACAAAACTTTTATAATTATGCAAGAATGATTATGCCAGACAAAAAAAAGGTTTATGAACTCTCATGCTACATCTATCTCAAAAGAATCAAATACTGCTAAGGATCTTTAATACTTACATGAAAAATGGTTTGCTCCAAAAACAAAGACCCAGACAATACCGTTTTTGTTTGTAACTCAAATTACATAAACTGCATGATTAAGGAATAAGGTTGCAACGACAATTCAAACATATATTTTCGTCTGTAACACAGTTATTGGATTCCAGTCATTCAAATCGTGAAGCGTATATAATACTTTCGGGAGGGCTTTTTCGATTCAGAACCCATTGGTCAACATCGTTCTTGTAAGCAGCAACCGTCTATCTTGTTAACCTAAATGATTTGCTAATTTTGCCACATTTAAAACAACTAAATAAAAAAGTAAAACACAAAAATCGTGATTAGAACAGACAGGGGATACAAAGGGTACATTCAAAACTTATAAGTTGGAGAAACACTTACACGCCATGGCAAAAAACGAAAAACGACGAAACGACGAACAAGTCCATACGTCCACAAACCACTTCATAAACAACTACAAACTAAGCTACACGAACCCCGCTAAAAACCCTAGGGTGTTCTCAGATTCTCTGGACAGTATACTACTCCACTTGTAGGACACCTCGTGTGGATCATGATAAGTACAAATGTGATGATAATATTTAATTGTGTCACAATCGTGGATTGGTGGATAAGACAATTGGAACGTATCCGTGGTCATTTTTGACATAGATATTCGTGATGTCGTCGTAAACACTTTGAAGAGAGGATTCAACTTTACTGCTTGGAACGGGTTGTTCAATAGCTTCTTTGTTAGAAGTAAAACGTTATGAAGAAAAACATGATGATAAAAAAGTAATGTCTTGAATATCGTATCAAATGGGAGACATATATTTCATATGAAGACGCTGCTGGAATGATGCACCATAGACTGGAAACTTCACAATTAGAAAGCTTAAACAATCTCTTTTGTCGCTACATTTCTCAACCGACCAACATTGTAAATCTGTAGATGTAAGTGTGGATGTGAAGCTACCATAACTATATCCATGGTATCTTTTACTTATAGATCAATGGGATCGACGAGTTCAACATGGTCACCAAACTTTGAACTAGACCAGGAGAGGACAATATTATGAAGACATTTTTAGCCTTTACATAAAAGACATCATGAAAGAATGAGTTCACATTTGTTTCTTAAATAAATGGCAAACGCAGATACAAATATGTTTTTGGGAAGGAACATGGCATTCTTTGTAAAAAACAATTCAAACTTTGGTTATTATTTTGATTGCATTTATCCCATTGAGTCGGCTTTATGTTTGGTGACTTACATCTATAAATTGACAACGAGGGATGACTGATGATTAAACCTTACGACAAAAGAGATTATTTTAGTTTCAATCAAACATCATAAATTGAAGAAAAACAGACATAGTATTTACACAACAAACTATGAAAAGAAAAACACCAGGATACAAATCATTCAGCCAGACACGATCTACAAATAAGTCTAATGGTCGAAATCGTCAGACGACTCCTTATTCGAGTTTTTGCCCTTCAATGACAATTTTTATAAATATTTTGCGTTTTTGCTTATATCTGAAAAACTATAATAGATGATTAGAAACTTGAATAAGCAATAATGGTCAGCAAGACAAGATTTTCAAATTAGTTTATTTTCTGACGACGCCTTATTGGAGATATTGCCCTTTGATAATGATTTTTACCATTTTTTTGCGTTTTTGCCTTATATCTGAAAAATTATGATAGATAAATAGAAACTTATAAATAAACAAAAATGATCAGCAAGACTTGATCTACAAATAAGCAAAATAGCTGTAATCGTCAGTCGACTCCTTGTAGGAGTTTTTACTCTCTAATGACGATTTTTACCAATATTTTACGTTTTTGCCTACTATCTTGAAAACTGTAAAAGATAGATAGACTCTTTAAAAGCAAAAAATGATGAGAAAGACGTTGGTTAACTATCTATAGGAATGATTGCCTTTAAATGATATTTTTTTTTTGTGTTTTGGGATAAAACTAAAGAAAATAGAGAGAAACTGTAAACAGAAAAAATGATCAGCAATACAAGATCAATAAAACAAAAGGTTTTTGTCATGAATTCTATTCAAGTCCACAATGTTTAAGAGAGTCCATTATTGAGGATGCTAATAGACTTAGGTCAGCGACACAGGCTCTTTAGAGCCTCTAGTTTATTTCGTTTGCAAAGTTAAAAAATATTAATGCCAGACAAATTCGAAACACGAAACACCATATGAATGAATCAATACATTATCCCATATGGCAGACATTATATCTTATTCAGCAGATCGCGTATTAAAACTCTTATTTAAACAGGAAACACTGCCAAGTGATGAAGAGGAGACAAAATATCCTGCTGTATATGCAACACCATTTGTGTTTCTATTGGTAATATCCGGCTCTGCATGCGACACCCATTGTATTAGCAAATTGTGATATCGTGTTATGCAAGCGACACTCGTCGTCTTTTGAATTAATAATAATTATGCTACCTTTTCTATATGCGTCACTCATCGTATTGGCAAGTTGTGAAATCCTGCACATCAAAATTGCGACACCAATCTTATCTCTCTGGTCTGCAGGCGACACCTATTGTATTGGCAAGAGGTATAAATCTCCCGGTTGCAGACTAATGAAATTTTTTTAGGCTCCAGATATTAATTTTAGTTTATGTTGCAATAATAAATGTAGGAACGGACAAATGATAAGGTAGATAGTGAAAATAGGCAATATATAATACGATAAAGATAATTATTTGGAGTTGCCATATACTTATTAGTTAGGATTACGTCATATTGTAGCCCATTGTTTACATTATTGTCACTCGCATTCTCGAATCGCTATTATGCCACAAAAAATACAAACGCATCAAAAACATCAAAACCTACCAGCCAATCAGGATTAAGTTCCCATACACAAAACATATCAAGTCCGACAA